GGGGAGGTTGGGTGGCTAGGTGGTTGGAGACGACAGAACTGGCAAGGCCAGGGTTACCATTGAAAGAAGGAGCTTGATCCTAGTCTCAGGGAAGGTGCAGCAGTTATCTGAGGCTCTAGACTCGACTTTACCAACCTCAGTCTTCTCCTGTGCACTGTGTCCCACGCGGCCTCCGCTCTACTCTCCCCACCGCGGGAACACGGCGACACCGTGCCAACCAGCAGCCTGGCTCAGCTGCAGGAGCACAGACGCTGAGACCTGCGCGAAGCCTAGAGTGGTCCCGGAAGCGCCCACTGGCGCAGAGAGGGGAGGGGATGGGAAGGACGGGGAGGGGAGGGGGAGGGGAGAGGAGGGGGAGGGGGAGAGGAAGGCCAGGCCCTCGGGCAGCGGGGTGCAGCTTCACCCCAATCCAGATGCCCCACCCCATGCCATCCCAGTCCAGCGGACCCACTGTCGCTCCGCTGGCCCAGGGTGTGGATGCCCGGTTCAAAGTCTGTATGGGGAGCTGTGTCGCCGCCTTGGTTGCGGATCTGTGTCCTGTCTCCAGCCAGGAAACCCTGACCGCACCAAGCATTTGTCCTGTGCCAGGCCCTGGTGGGCTATGAATTCCCGAGAGAGTTGGGAAGTTTGAGTTTCCAGATCTTTGAATCTTTCAGTCTGGCAACATTTAACACAAGGTTGGGGACAGATAAAACACCGTTTGATCATCTCACCTGTCCTTACTCTCCAAACTCCCTCATTGAGGGTGGCACTGCCGGGCCTTACTTTCTCAATCAGTGTTAGTAAATTATGACCAGTGGTGCACTGGTATGTTTAACAGCCAATTCAGAGCGTTTTCGGGGTCTGGGGGTCCCTAAGTCCTTGGGAGACTGTGACAGGAGGATTGCCACTTGTCCTCAAAAGGCAATTTGGGGCAGGGTGTGGTGGTGCTGTCTCAGCAATAGGTAGGCAGAGACAGGCAGATCTTTGTGAGTTCAAGAACATCCTAGTCTAAATAGACAATTTTCATGTCAGCCAAAGCTACACTGTGAGATCTTATCTCAAGATCCAAATAAATAAATTGGTTAAAAATAAAAAGGCAAGCCTGGTCTTTTTGTGCTTATTTATGAGTAGACAGTGCCACCTAGTGGTGAAGCCAAGCAAATTCAGACTGTGTCCTTTCTTGGGAAGAGTCAATGCTTTGAAGAGAGCCCACAGGTGTCCCTCCCTCCCTCTATCGTAGGTAGTATGGACTGATTTGGCTCCTGGTTTAGAGTAATAATCTATCTCCTGGAGCAATATTGCCCGGTAAATCTTTATCAATAATAATAACAACTGTATGAATGTGTAATACATAGCTATTATTGGGTGCCAGAACCCTTTCTACACATTTTACATATATTAATCCCCTTGGTTCTCACAATAATCAAACAGCCTGGGTCTATGACAAGGTAAGGTGGGCCTTTTTAAAGCCAACCAGAAACCCATCATCCCATTCATATCTGATGCAGAGAACCAGAAAATCACGAGATTTACTAAGGCAAGCTTTTCTCCACTTCTATTAGTTCTTTGAATTTCATACCATTTGTTTTGTTCCTATTCACTCCTTCTGCAGCTCCTCACAGATCTACCCTCCTTTCCTATCCATTCTCTTTCCCCCTTCTCCCATCAAGGCTAAAGTAACATTTAACAAAGAAATGTACCAATAAAAATAAAGCTGGGCATATCAGTTTGGCATATAGTTTGTGGTAGGGTCCTGGGTTCCATCCCAGTACCTACCCACACACACAAAGAAAGAAGAAAGGATTTTTTTCTTTAAAAAGAATTTAAAGTTGATCTACAAGGGTTGGAGAGATAGCTCAGTAGTTAAGGACATTAGGCCCAGAGAACCTAGACTTAATTCCCAGCTCTCACAGAGTGGCCCACAACCATCTGTAATTTCAGTTCTAGGGGATCTGGCACCATCTCCTGGCCTTCGAGAGCACAATGCATTCCCGTGGTACACAGGACGTAAGTGTAGGCAAAATACTCATACAGAGAAAATAAATAATTTTTAAAAAGTTGAATTGCACAAAACTGAGAAATTCCTGTGATCAACCCTGCCACCCAGAGCTGTGACTGTCATAAAATGAGCTGAAAAATTGCCTTGGCACACAGTTTAAGGAAGTACCAAAAAAAAAAAAAGATAAGAAAACCTCTGAAATTAAGGTAGATACCATTTTGATATGATATTTTAATTTTTAAAATTAATGAAAAAATCCACCAAGATCAAAATAAAACATTGTTTTTTAAGATGGGAGTGATGAGCCGGACGTTGGTGGCGCATGCCTTTAGTACCAGCCCTTGGGAATCAGGGGCAGGCAGATCTCTGTGAGTTCGAGGCCAGCCTGGTCTCCAGAGAGAGTGTCAGGACAGTCTCCAAAGCTACACAGAGAAACCCTGTCTCGAAAAACCAAACAAACAAAACACAAAAGGAGTGATGCTATAGTTTCAGTCTCTCCCCAGAATCCAATATAGCTTGTAAAGATACCATTAAAGGGACTGCTTCAGTTGTTCTGTGTTAGTCCCACCTGCGCCCAAATTAAGTCAAAGATGACTGCTTGTGGCTAATGGAGAGACAGTCGTGGGATTGACCTGGCAGCCAAAAGGGTCTCTGTCTCTCTGTCTGTCTGTCTGTCTCTCTCTTATCTCCGTCTGTCTGTCTGTCTCTCTGTCTGTCTGACTCTCCTTTCCTCCCTCTCTCCTCCCCCCTCCTCCTCTTTGTGTGTGTGTGTTTAATCGGACCAAGAATAAAAGAAAGGAAAGTCTATGCTTGGGAAGAATCAGGCCCCGCAGAGCCTACTGGAAACCACCAAGGATGCTCGGTGGCTCTTCCCAGGATGCCTTGCGAACCAGGGCTGGAACTGGGTCCAGAACCGTTACAGCATTCTTGCTGCAAGTGCTTGCCTGCCTCAGAAACGCTGCCATGAACCATCTGGAGAAATATCGCGGCTCCTCTTTCACCGGGAATGAAAGCACCGTGGGCTTCAGCATCAACAGCACCATGGACACACTGGTGATGACTTCGTACCTCCTATTGGTCCTGTTCTTCGGGCTGTGGGTATGACGTGACCTCTGGGTTGGTGTATACCACTTCCAGAAGACACCCAGCATCCCGGCGGTCCAGAGGGGGTGGTCCCTGCCCACCCTTCCAACCAAGCATCAGCTACTTTGTCCATTACCCCTTCCTGTGTGCTATACCGCCCCCCGCCGCGCCACCCTGTCAAGTAACTAAATTTGCCTGCCCCTGCTGCCTAGAACACCAAGCCTTAGTATTATTTTGAAAGTTCTTGTGAGTTTTTATAAAAGAGATTTGAGCTGGAAGAGTCTAGGAACTAATTCTCTGTGCACACCAAGACCAGACTCTACTGTGACTTGAACTGGGATTCCGAAAGGTTAAGTAAAGAAGCGGAAGTAAGAAGTGGAGCTCAGATGTGAACCTAGAGCTGTCTGTCACGTGATGGACTTGAGAATCCTGGGATTTTCATATTCCCAAGGGCTCTTAGAACTAATTCCCCACCAACACCAAGGGATGAGAGCACAGGGTCTATTCCAAACAGGGAGGGGAATCCCGAGTGCACACACATAACAAACACTATCTGTCCTCACTGGCTCCGGCCATGGACCGTCTGTTTCCAGGTTCCCGGAATTCTTAGTTTGGGGTCCTTCCTCCAGTGCTTTTATTAGGAATCCTTCCTGCACCCCAGATTACCCTTGGCCAGATTTGAGAACCAGTAAACCTATCGCTCCAGAATAGTAAGACCAACACATACCATCCAGCTCTTCTCTACGAATGCTATTCCACCAGAGTATTTCTGTTTCAGGCTGTACTGTCAAATAGTCGAGGGACGATAAAAGACTTCTTCCTGGCTGGTCAAAATCTAGGATGGTGGATGGTGAGTAAGCTTGTATGTGGCTGTCTGCTTGGGAGCTTTCTATGTTGCCTTGTTTTGTTTTGTTTTTGTTTTTGTTTGTTTGTTTCAAGACAGGGTTTCTCTGTGTAGCCTCCGGTGTCCTGGAACTCATTATTTAGACCAAACTGGCCTCAAACTCAGAGATCCACCTTCCTCTGCCACCTCAGTGCTGAGATTAAAGGCATGTATCATCAATACCCAGCCTGTGTTGGCTTGTTTATTATTTTAATTTTTTAAAGATTTTATTTATTTATTATGCATACAGCATTCTGCTTCCATGTATATCTGCACACCAGAAGAGGGCACCAGATCTCATAACGGATGGTTGTGAGCCACCATGTGGTTGCTGGGAATTGAACTTAGGACCTCTGGAAGAGCAGCCGGCGCTCTTAACCTCTGAGCCATCTCTCCAGCCCCTTGTTTATTATTTTAATTTGTATGTCTTAAGCTCAGAATAATTTCAAGTTGCTAAATCAGGAATTTCTCCTTCCTTCTCCTCCTCCTGTTTCAGCACAATCTTGCTATGTAGCCCAGGCTGGACTTGAACTCACAAACTTCATGCTTTAGCCTCCTGAGTGCTGGGGTAACAATCGGTGCAATAAACTACCAATTGTATTTAATTGATGATTTATTTAATGTCTGCGTATTTTCTTTCCTAGCTCTGTCACATGAAAGTGCAGAAAGGAAGTAAGCTGCATCGTAAAAATTCTAATTGAGCCGAAGCGTTGGTGGCGCACGCCTTTAATCCCAGCACTCGGGAGGCAGAGGCAGGCGGATCTCTGTGAGTTTGAGACCAGCCTGGTCTCCAGAGCGAGTGCCAGGATAGGCTCCAAAGCTACACAGAGAAACCCTGTCTGGAAAAACAAACAAACAAAAAATTCTAATTGTACTCGCATGTGTGTTCAGGGGTGTGAGTACCTGTGCATGTACATAGGCCGGAGAAGGTCCCTGAGTATCCTGCTTCTTTGCCTTACTCCCTCGACACAGGGTCTCTCACTGAACCTGGAGCTAGGCTGGCAGTTAATGAGCTCCTGGGAATTCTCCTGTCTCTGCTCCCCAGAGTTCGGGGTAGAAATGCACAGCGGCCACACCTGTTTTTCTGTGCAGTTATTGAGGTTTGAACTCAGCACCTACACTTTTGCAGCACTGAGCCACCACCAGTCCAGTGTTCATATTTAAACTAGTTACAGTGCTTTATAGTAAATAAATCTATTGACAAAAGCTAAAGTTGGGCCTGTGTGTTTAGCAACACAGAAAAGATCTTTCAGAGGCTGAGTCATGCATGTTGGGTTTGAGGTGGATGGAGTATGCCTTTTCCAGGAAGACAGAGTGTGGGGCGTTCTGAGCGGAGGGGACAACAGATACCAAAGCTTAGTGGTACAGCATAGCTTGGTGCTGGATGGAAGGAGGAGATGTAGAAGGTAGAATCATTGTCTGTATGCTGAACAGTGTTTTGGCTATTGTATTTGTTAAGGTTCTGTCTCTAAAAGAACAGAACTGATATGTATGTATGTATGTATGTATGTATGTATGTATGTATGTATGACTTATTAGATAGGCTGACATGAGGTAGTCCATCAATGGCTGTCTCACTCTGGAGAGTCTGAGAATCCAGGAGTATCTCAGTCCACAAAGCTGGAGGTCTCAGTAGTCGAAATCTGGTGCTGAAGGCCTGGAGGATTCTTGTAGAGCTCCTGGTCTTCCGTCCAGGAAGATGGAATCCCAAAGAAGATGGCTCTAACACAAGGCTAAAGCAACAAGAGAGGACTTGCCAGAGGGGGTGAGGGCCAGCAGGCAGCAAAGGGTTCATCTTCCATGTCCTATTACCTGAGTGGCCACCAAAAGGTACCTCTCACACTTTCTGCTTTAAATAATCTGTTCAAGAAAAAAAAATCCCTATTGGGAATGACCAGCTACTTTGCTTTTAGTTGGTTCCAGGTTGTCCTAGGGTTACTATTGCTGTGATGAAACACCATGACCAAAAACAAGTTGGGGAGGAAAGGGTTTATTTGGTTTACACCCCCACATCGTAGTTCATCACAGAAGGAAGCCAGGACAGGAACTTAAGAGGGCAAGAATCTGGGAGCAGGAGCTGGATGCAGAGGCCATGGAGGGGTGCTGCTTACTGACTTGCTCCTCATGGCTTTCTCAACCTGCTTTCTTATAGAACCCAGGTCCACCAGCCCAGGGATGGCCCCACCCACCATGGGCTAGACCGACCCCCATTGATCACTAGAATTGAGAAAATGCATTATAACTAGATCTCATGGAGGCATTTCCTCAACTGAGGCTCCTTTCTCTCTGATGACTCTAGCTTGTGTCAAGTTGACACTCAAAACCAGTCAGTACACCTAACCTGTGCAAACGCAGGTTCCATCCCTACCTCCCATAAAGCCTGTGATTCCAGCACTTGGATGGGGAAGCAAGAGGATCAGAAGTTCAAGGCCATCCTCAGCTACAGAATGGGTTTGGGCATAGAAATTCTGCCCAAGGAATAACCCCTCTGGAGAAAATGTCAAAGACAGCAGTTCTGCATACCTTGAACATTACTTATTTATTTTGAGGCAAGGTCACATGTGCTGTTCTTTTGCTTTAAATGGTAGGATAAAGCTGGAAGGGGGTCCTGCTTGGGGAACCATGGCAGATTCCATGGTCGGCATGGGTGACCAAGACAGGGGGTGGGGGGAGGAAAGAGAAAAGAGGTAAAGAGACACAGAGGGAGACAGGAGCAGAAAGAGAGGAGAGCGGGGAGAGAGAGAGAAGAGCTGGAAAAAGAGAGGAAGGAAGAGCAGAAAGAGAGCAAGAGAGAGCATGTGGAGGTGCTCGCCTAAAAGAGAGAGCTTGTACAGGCGTACTGAGTCCTCTTAATTGGTGATGCAGGCGGGATCATCATAATGCTGAGATTCCAACAACATGTATTCCAGGATGTCCCCAAGCTCAACATAACGCTGCTTTCACTTAACACAGCTGATTTATTTATTTATTTATTTATTTATTTATTTATTTATTTATTTTTTTATTTATTTATTTTTACCAGCATCAAGCATCCCAGCAATGTGACAAGTTTCATGTCAGCCACAGCTGACTCTTCTGCCCTAGTAACCAGATACCACAGATTCGTGGTTCAAAATATCACACAACCGGCCTAATAGAATCCTTGAGGGACTCTCAAACTTCCCTCTGAAACTTCACAAGCTAAGAGTCATCAGAGAGGAGGGAGCCTCAGTGGAGAAAAGGTCTCCATAAGGCCTTTAAGCAAGCCTGTAGAGCACTTTCTTAATTAGTAATTGTTGAGGGAGGACCCAACCCATTGTGGGTGGGGCTGTGCCTGGGTTGGTGACCCTGGGTTCTATAAGAAAACAGGCTGAGCAAACCACGACGGGCAAGCCAGTAAGCAGCACCCCTCCATAACCTCCGCATCAGCTCCTGCCTCCATGAGTTCCTGTTCTGACTCCCTTCAGTGATGAATTACGATGGGAAGTTTAAATCAAATAAACCCTTTCCTCACCAACTTGATTTTAGTCATGGTGCTTGGTCACAGCAATAGAAACCCTAAGACACTAGGTGAGAGCTCTATGATTGAGCCCCACCCTCAGCCCCTCAACATGAATTCTTGTGATGGATAACAAGGGCTCTGAAACAGTTTCATCTTCTGATTTTCAGATGGGCATTTCCATTTATTGTTCAAGTATCAGCAGTAGCCACTTTATGGGCCTGGCCGGGATAGGTGCAACTTCAGGGATTGCTGTTGGGGCCTTTGAGTGGAATGTAAGTAATATCTCCTCAGCAACTGACCGCTTGACCATTGTCCAAAGAGGACTCACAAACACAAAAGCTCGTTCTTCACCTCGAGTGACTGTTAGAGATGTCTTGGAAAGTAGAGACAAAGGGCATCAAGTCTTTGGTTTCTGAGAAGGATTATGCTGTTTTTCATTCTCATTGTTAAGTCAGGAGACAGAATGCATATATGGATATATTCCTAGGGAATAAAGTGAACAAGGAACTGTTAGATCAGTCAGGTAGGAAGAAAATCACATCAGCATTTAAGTGTGTGTGTGTGTGTGTGTGTGTGTGCGCGCGCGCTGTGCGCTTGTGCCTACTGACCTCTGCAGACAGTAATTGAATCTGCATCTCTTTTAGGAACTTGACCCACAAGGGCCCCTGACTTAATTCTGCTTTTTCTTGGTTTCAGACTATCTTCATGCTCTTTGCCCTTGGCTGGATATTTGTTCCTATCTATAACAAGGCTGAGGTAAGTGTCCATTATAAGTTTATGATATTTTTTAAAAAAATAAATATTGCATGTGTAGTAAAAGCATCCTGAAGGATAGATTATACTGTCAGTCTTTTGATCCTGACACCGACTTCCCTAATCTGCAGATACCTAAAATACTCCATTCTGTCTTGGGTAGACAGACACAAGTGCTATCTAATTACTCAGGAATTTACAGATATTTTGCTGAAAGTGTTTTTCAGCTGTAGAAGTCTTCTGGTGTAGTCTTGAGGGTGATTTATGTTGTATAAAATCATATCATCTTCAAATAAAGGTCATTTGATTTCTTCCTTTCCCTTGATCTTTCAGTTGTCTTATTGATCTAGTTAAGACTTCAAGTACTGCCTGGTGTCGGTGGCGCACACTTTTAATCCCAGCACTCAGGAGGCAGAGGCAGGTGGATCTCTGTGAGTTCAAGACCAGCCTGGTCTACAAAGAGCTAGTTCCAGGACAGCCTCCAAAGCCACAGAGAAACCCTGTCTCAAAAAACAAAACAAAACAACAACAACAACAAAAAAGACTTCAAGTACTATATTAAATAGGTATGGAGAGAGTGGACATCCTTCTCTTGTTCCTGATTGAGTGTAAATGCTTTGAGTTTCTCTCTGTTGAGGTTGATGTTGGCCATGGGCTTGCTGCAAATCACTTTTATTATGCTTAGATATGTCTCTTGTATACCTAATCTCTCTAGTACTTGTATCATGAAGGGATATTAGATTTTGTCAAAGGTTACATCTAGTAAAATGATCATGTGTTTTTTTTTCTTTCAGTCTATTTATGTGGTGGGTTACACTTATTGATTTCTGTATGTTGATCCATCCTTTGGGATGAAGCCAATTTGATTGTATTACATAATTTATTTTTTAAAAGAGTTTCTGGATTGATTTTGGGGTAATTTTGCATCTATGTTCATAAAGGAAATTGCTTTGTAGTTTTCTTTCTTTGTTGGGTGTTTGTGTGGTTTAGGTATCAGGGCAACTGACCTCAAAAGAAGAGCTAGGTAATACTCCTGTATTTGCAGAGTAATTTGAGCAGTACTGGCATTAATTCTGCTTTGAAGGGCTGGTAGAATTCTTCCCTGAAACCATTTGGCCCTGGGTTTTTTTTTGTTTTGCTTTGTTTTTTTGTGATGGGAAGACTTTTAATTACTGCTTCTATTTCACTAGGGATTTGGGGCTTTTTAAAGTTGCTTTTCTGTTCTTGAGTTAACTTTGGTTAGTCATATATATCAATATATGTATGCATTTCTTTTAGGTTTTCCAGTTAGGTGGAGCATACATTCTGAAAGTGTGTCCTTATGTTTCTCTGGACTTCCTCATTGTCTACTGTGATGGCCCCCTTTTTGTCTGTAATTTTATTAATTTGGATCTTCTCTTTCCATTCTTTAGTTAATTTGGCTAAGGGTTTGCCAATCTTATTGATTTTTCTCAGAGAACTAACTCTTCATCTCCTTGATTCTGTTTTGTTTTTGTTTTTGTTTTTAAATGTATAGTGTTCTGTCTACATGTATCCCTGCAGGCCAGAAGAGGGCACCAGGTCTCATTATAGATGGTTGTGAGCCACCATGTGGTTGCTGGGAATTGAAATCAAGACCTCTGGAAGAGCACACAGAGCTCTTAACCACTGAGCCATCTCTCCAGCCCCGATTCTTTGTATGTTTTAAAAATCCATTTTATCGATTTAAGCCCTGAGTTTGATTATCTCTTGGTGTCTGCTCCTCTGGGATGTTATTTCCTCTTTTTGTTCCAGAGCTTCAGGTATGCTAATATGAGATCTCTCTGACTTTTATTTTTTTATATTATGAACTTGCCTGTAGAACCTCCTTCATTATGTCCCATAGGTTTGGGTATGTTGTATATTCATTTTTTTTGTTTTTGCTATTGTTTTTTTTAAATTGTTTTATTTTATGCATATGGGTGTTTTGGCTGCATGTATGTATGCGCACCACGTGTGTGCTGTGCCCATCGGGTGAGAAAAGGTTTAGGGGAATCCCCAAAGAGTGGGGGCAATGGGAAGAGAGGCCCCTGCTACAGGAAGAGAGTGGAAAGACTGTGATGGAGAACAAGAAGGACAGAGGAAATGGCCTGCCTGAGTCCATCTCCAGACTGACCTCATGGCTCCCAGGCAGCCAGTGTTTCTAGGTACTGTCAGCTGACACCAAGAAATGGGAGTGGGCTAGAGGGCTGGTGTGGGGAGGGGAGTCCACAGGAAGGGAAAATAGCCTTTTCGAAAGACTTTTAAAACTCCATAATAAAAAGGTTAGAACTAATGTTTCAGAAAAAAACAAAACAACAACAACAAAAAACAAAAACAAAACAAACACTGCCTCCCCAAATACAAATAATCTCAGGAGAAGATTTTTATCCTTAATTACAACAAATGCTAGCTCAAAACCAAGTACAACTTCCGACTCCTCCTTCTAGTCTCTCCTGAGCTGGTTGGTGGTTTCAACCACATGAAGAGAAACAGGAGAGACCCAAGAAAAACAAGGTGTGCTCTATATACCCAAAGGTCCCAGGGATAGGAGGGCCCAGAGAAAATGTGCCACACAGAACCACGCGTAAGAGACATCAGCGTCATCTGGAAGCAGAAGATGGGAATGAGGTCAGGCCTTTGCTGGGGTCCTTGGGAAAGACAAAGCAGAGCAGAATCTACAGCTTTAGACTGCCTGATTGTCTAACTCCTACAGGCTTGTGTTGGTCCTGAGATGGTGATTACAGCAGAGGACTATCGTCTCCAGGGGCACAGGCTGGGTGGAGGAGGCCAGCCTCAGGACTGGCTAACCAGCTGTCAATGCTAATGCTCTAGCCTGGACCCTCTGTTACCTGTGGGCATTGGCTAATTTTGAGGAGGGCAGTTCTTCCCAACCAGAAAGATTTAAAAGCAATTCTTTTTATTTACATTTTTTGTTTTGTTTTATGTGTTTGAGTGTTTTGCCTATACGTACGTGTGTATGTATGCCACATGTTTGCCTGGTGCCCAAAGGGTCCAGAAGAAGGCGTTGGATCCCCTGGAACTGCAGTTCCAGATGGTTATGTTGGTGTTGGGAACTGAACCCAAGTCCTCTGTAAGAGCAACAAGCGCTCTCAATCACTCAAGCTATCTCTCCAGCCCCTAGAAAGATTTCTTTTAAAGATGTCAGAACAAAACAAAACAAAACAAACAAACAAGTCCAGTGTTGGTGGTGCACGCCTTTAATCCCAACACTTGGGAGGCAGAGGCAGGTGGATCTCTGTGAGTTTGAGACCAGCCTGGTCTACAAGAGCTGGTTCCAGGACAGCCTCCAAAGCCACAGAGAAACCCTGTCTCAGAAAAACAAAAACAAAAACCAAAAAACAAAAAACAAAAAACAAAAAAACCCTAAGATGTCAGAACAACCTAAAACAGAAAAAATTTTAAAAAATCTTGACGGCATACACTAGGAGAAGTACATACTGTGACGTACCCTATAGAATACTAGATTAATGCAGCTTCACACAGTCTGACTTTGTCAGTTCTACGAACACGATCTGGATAAATGCTTCTCTCAGCCCTGGGAAGGAGGCAGACCTTTTGAATCCTTGAACGTGTAGCCTCTACAACTGACAACAGTTAACCTGTTGCTTAAGGCACCTAAACCAGAGTTTCTCAACCTGTAGGTCTCAACCCTGGGGGTGAATGGCCCTTTCACAGGGACCGTGAAAAACCATCAGAAAATGGAGATTTACATTACAATTGATAACAGTAGCAAAATTACAGTGAAGAAGTAGTGACAAAAAACAATTTTATGGTTGGGGGTGGTCACCACGACATGAGGAACTGTATTAAAGGGTCACAGCATTAGGAAGGTTGAGAGCCACTGCCCTAAACTGTCCTCACTTGTTATGAAAGTCCAAATATCAACTTAGAAACAGCTTGGGGAGTTTGGAACTTTGCTGGGAGAATGATTGACATATGGCAGAGTATGACATAGAGCCAAGCAAAGGCCAAGAGAAGGAAGCCTGCGGGTGCTCTGGTCCCCATGAAGAACTCTTTGTGAAACAGGTGGAGTCTGAGTGGGAGCTCACAATAGACATATGTAGGTGTGTAGACCAGAACTATGTATTAGCCAGGACAGAGTGAGGCAATATCCTCTTAATGATTCATTTCCCTTTGAGCCAAGGTCTGTTGGGGTCAAGGGGCATTGTGAGCACTGAGAGCTCAGTCCCTGTGCTCATGGCGCACACTGCCAGAGATGATGTAGAAAACAGGATGCTTTGGGATGCTGTCATCAGACTGGATTTTTCACACAGTGGTGGTGAGAACTGAGTGCATCGTCAGGTTCTATCTCCTGCCAGCCATGTTTGACAAAGCGAGTCCCTTTGCTCCGTAATGAGTAACTTATCATTATTGCACATTTTCAGTTTCCTGGGTTTCATTCTGCATTCCTAAGATTGGGCAGAGCCTGGAGTCCAAGCTGCTAGAAGATAGCTGTCCTGTCTCTGTTTTCACTGTTCCCCGTCTCGACTGGTACCAATAGTGATGCGCCCCCACATCTCGTCGTATCCCTGGGCTATCTCCACCATCCGGTAGCATCTGTGTGACATAAGTACTGTGAGGAAGGGTCATCCAGTGACCTGCCTCTTACCACTCACTCTCTGACAGTGACTTGTCTGTTGCTTGCGCAGGTGGTGACGTTGCCAGAGTATTTGATGGAGAGGTTTGGGAGCCTCCGGATCCACCTGTGCTTCTCTTTCTTTTTCTTACTCGTCTACGTCTTCAACAGGATCTCAGTGAGTTCTTGCACATGGAGTAGAGACCAACCAGGCGTGCCATTGGAATGCCTCCCCAAAGAGGGGACCCTCCTCCTCCTCTGAGTGATGGGGAGGGGGTGTCACCCAAGCAAAACTGTGTCCATGCATCCCAAGGATGCGCCCCGTTGTCTCTACTACACATCGTCGCCTTGTTATTTTCTTTATAATGAGTACCACCGTGTGAAAGCGATGTATTGGCGCCCTCGCCTATCGTGTGTCTTCTCTGCTTGCATTCAAGTGACCTGAGACTGTGAGCCTTTTCTGGTGTCTTCACTGCAGCCCCACCTCCATCCCCTCTACCCTCCAGAACGTGTTTTGCACATATGGCATAGCATAGATGGTTTTCACTAACCAGATGAATGACATTTGAAAACGACAAATGCCCTCATAGTATCTTCCTTTGATGTAAGCTCAGTGAGGACAGAAGCTGGGCTTAGCCAGTCCTCATGTCTCCTGAATACAGCATTGTGGCGCCACAGTAATCTTTTGGGGGAAATAAATGGTTGGATGAATCGCTGCCCATTTTATCCCCGGCTTGGGAGGTCAGCCAGGTAAACTACATGTAGGTGCTTCAGCATCTGTGTCAGCTCAGCCAGGGGTTGTCAAATCTGGTAGGCAGTCCAGGCCAGTGAGTGACTGCTCTGTACAGCCCTTGAGCAAAGACCGATTTTCATACCTAATTTAAAGGGTTGTAAAAGCTAGAGTCAGTGTGGTAGACAGCCTTCAAAACCTGTAATATTTATCGTGTAGTCTTGAACAAAAAGTTTGCCAATCCCAGAGCTTGTTAAATACATGGGTTCAAGTGAACTTGGTAGTGTTCTAAAAGTACATAGAATCAAAAGTCCCCAGTAATTGCAAAGATAACACAAAAGGTGTTTTCTGGAACAAATGCTTACAGGAAAAAAAAAAAAAAAAAAAAAAAAAACCCCATGGTTTTTCCCTCTTTTCAAAACGGGTTTTTAAAAAACCCTATTTGCAGAACCACATGCAACAACCTCTCTGAGCACAACCCCCACTCAGATACTCTGGAGCAGAGTAGGCTAGGTTGTGTTAACTGGGTGCCCTTGGAGGTACTAACTTTGGTTGAGCTCAGAGGGCACAGAATTTGGGGAGATCTCTCTCGGTGTCCATTTGTGGCTTGGTGCTGTCCAAAGGCCACATCTTCCATGTAGCTTCCGGGACCCATTTCTTTCGGGGGGTGGTTGTTGATCCTGCTGGCCATGAAGCTTTAGCTACTAACCTTGTACCCATTTCAGATGGAGATCGGCTTTGGTGCCATGTTCTTGAAAATGGTCTGGGACACAGATATCTACCAGACAATGCTGGTTGTGCTGATCATTACTGGCTCTTATACCATCACAGGTGAGGTAACCTCAAGCACACATGAATTCAGACTGACACAAACTCTCAGCAGAGTCCCAGGAGCTGCTGAGTTTTCCCAAAGTCTGTGGATCCCAGGAAGTATGATGGAGGCAGAGGTACCACCAAGGAAAAAATCCAACTGGGTTGGAAAAAATCTCTTCGAAGAGTGATAAGACAGCAAAATGGCAAAATGGGGCATGCCACTATGGGTCACCAGGTATCAGAGTGGGAGGGCACAGGTGAACGAGGGGAAAGTGAGGAGGCTCCCGGCCAAGCCTTCAGATGGGATCTGTTAGAAAGGCGGTTCTCATGGGATCAGCCTCTGCCTGGGGTAGGGAGGGGCTCTGCTCCCTCATTTTCTTCTACTCATAGTGTAACCACAGGTCAAGTAGAGCTAATCAGAGGGACAGAAGTTGTCAGTAAGTTGCTCATAGTGGTGAGGAGTCTAAATTGGATTTGTTTTTAAATTTTATTTATTTATTATGTATACAACATTCTGCCTCCATGAATGCCTGCATGCCAGAAGAGGGCACCAAATCTCATTACAGATGGTTGTGAGCCACCATGTGGTTGCTGGGAATTGAACTCAGGACCTCTGGAAGAGCAGCCAGTGCTCTTAACTCTGAGCCATCTCTCCAGCCCCCTAAATTGGATTTTTCTTCCTGGTGATATTGGGTGATGCTTGGAGACGGTTTGGGTTATTGAAACTGTGTGGGACTCAGGGAAGGTGCCATCTGGCTGTGGAAGACCAGGGACAGTACTAATGATTGCTTCCAGACTGAGTTTCTGGGATGAAAAGAGAACACATTTGATTAGGAAAATGGAAAAGCATGGAGAGTAAAAAAAAATTGGGGACATAGGAAGTCAAAACACTCTACCACTTTGATGTGTTTTCTGTTGTTGTCTGCGGATGGGTAATATCTCGTGAGCATATAAAGAAGGAACAAACACACCTGAAATAAACCAACAGGTATTATTAACATGTTAGCAATTCATACCTGCACTTTCATGGCATCTTAAAAATCTATTACGGAAATACTGTGTATTTTCTTACACAGTATCATGTTTAGCTTCAGAATTTACTTCATTGTTGTTAGTTGGAGTTGTATTGGTTCAACAAAATTGACAAAACTGAAAAAAAAAAAAAAAAAGAATCCTACATAAGCCCGTGAAGAACAGAAAAGAGAAAACAGGATGTGTGTTAGACAAAGCAGAGATGTAAATGGATGA